TGTTGAGGTGTGATGTGTGTGTGGCTTTACCTGGATTGCACGATTAGTGGTATGGGACACTAGTCACTAAGGTACTGCAGTGGTCCTCGTGGTGGCCATGACGTGATTATGGAGTTATGGCCTTTGTGTAAGGTTCACGTGTTTATTTCTGGGATAACATGTGTTATCCAGGGCATATGTTGCCGTGTGTGATCGGTACCCTCGTGTCCTATGAAATTGGTGGTCTTGTTGGTGGTCGTTGGTGGGGGACAACGGTCCCAGAAGGGAAAAGGTTGGACTAAGAAGTACAGGGGTCCTAGAGGTAATGGTTGGAAGAAGATATAAGGTTGGGGGTAGCCATAAGGTTGGAACCGAGCATAAGGAAGGCATATGAACTTGTGATGGGTGATGTCACGAGGGCTTCTGTAGCCGTTGTTGTGAGTTCTCTTCTTGTGACGTGTGTAGTCACAAAGGCATGTGTTGTCTTGGCATGTGTTGCTGGTTGCTGTTTCTTATTCCTTTGAGTTATGCATGTCGGGTATTAATCTATTGTGTGATGATAGATTATACCTTGAGACTTCTTATGAGTCGTTGTTGTTCCTTGTGGTCTTGGGATGTGTTCCCGTATTCTTGTTGAGAGTGTTGAGTCTTGTGTTGACTATTACTCTTGGTTTTGGACTTATATATATATGTATTCCGTTTTGAAAATGGCTTTACAACTTATATCTTATCTATGTATGATATTTCACATGTATTGATGGGTTACCAGCATTATTCGCTGACCGGGCGTCGTCCCATGTTTTATATGCTTCTTTCGGGTGATGCTTAGACGAGTGCGCGGTCTAGTGCCTGCTAGCATAGTTATCCCATTGTGTTTTGTGGCCTGTGAGCCAGTATAGACATAGAACTCTGTTGGATGGTTGTAGATTTAAACAATGCAGATTTAGCCTGTGCGTTCACCCTTGGGTGAGCGTGGCATAGCACCCTGTTCCCTCATTTTATATATATATCTTATCTTTCAGTCTTCCGCTGTGTTTGGTGTTTGGTTTAAGTTATCTGCATGTTTTAAGGCTTTAAATAGCTTGGTTTTTAGGGGGTGTTACAGCCCGTGGCGAAACTTGAGCGACTTTGAAGTTGTTGGGTTTTTACCCCTATCGGTCGGTGCCGAATGTTGGTCATAACCGGAAAGTTGATCCCGATGTTATCGGGCAAGTTTTAGCGACATTGTGGTCGTTGGGCATTCGCCCATTTTGGTTGTTGTCGCCGAGTCTTGAGAGTTGCGAGTCGGTTGAATCATGCTCGAGATCGAACTCTGAAATTGATTTAGCAGCCTACGTACTATTTACATATCATGGTAATCGATCGCGCCCTCGTGCGCAGACGAGCAAGCACTCAACGATCGATTGTACACAGTTAAGTCCCGTACGCAGACGGTTGAACACTTAAACACTTACTTGTACATGGGTAAAAGACTGGTGTGCCCACTTGCAGGTTAAGCACCCACCCCGTCCGAATAAAAACATCAAAGTTAATGGCAGAATAAGACTAAATTTTCCGAGTTCCACGCTCCGTCGATCGACCTCCCAGTAGTTGTTTCAAGACGGTAGGTGTCCGGGCGAACGATCGCTGTGATCACATACGGTCCCTCCCAATTTCGGGCCAGCTTGCCTCCTTCAAGGGGTTGACTTGCTTCCCTTCGTCGTAAAACGTAATCCCCGACCTAAAAATAGCGCGGGTGGACCCAGACATCCTTGGTGCCTTTCACTCTCTGTTGGTACTCAGCCATGCGTCTGGCAGAGAGCTCGCTTTTTTCTTCCACACTATCTAGGTCCGCGGATAGAGAATGTTCGTTCTCTATTGCATTGTAGGACCGCTCCCTGGCCGTCGGGATCCAAGCTTCAATTAGCAACCGGGTCTCAGCGCCGTAAACCAGTGCAAAAGGAGTTTCTCTTGTTGCTTCTCGGGGTGTTGTGCGATATGTCCAAAGTACAAATGGGAGTTCCTCGGCCCAGCTACGACCGGCTGAATATAATTTTTTCTTTAATCCCTCTAGGATGGTACGGTTGGCATTCTCTACTTGACCATTCCTCTGAGGGTAGGCTACCGATGATCGGATTGAGGTCGTCCCGATCGTTGCCAGGAAGTTTTGAAAATACCGACCCACAAATTGCCGGTCATTGTCACTTATCAACTGAACAGGGACGCTGAATCGAGAAACGACATTTCGCCATAAGAAGCGGGCGCACTGTTGGGAAGTGATCGTGGCCAAGGGCTCGGCCTCGATCCATTTGGAGAAGTAATCTATCGCGACAATGACAAAATGTCGACGCCCAGATAGCTGTGGGAAGGGCCCTAATATATCCACCCCTCATCGAGCGAATGGAATTTCTGTCGTGACCGGCTGATAGAACGTTGCAGGACGACCAGGCATCCGGGCATAAAGCTGGCATGTCTCACAGCCTTTAGCGAGATTCTCATAGTCTAATTATATAGATGGCCAATAATAACCGATCACCATTATGCGACGAGCCAATGACCGCCGACCTTGATGCGATGAACAGAGACCCGAATGTAGCTCGTTCATAACCAACTCTACTTCGAAGGAATTGAGGCACCGCATCAAGGGGCCGCCATACGATCGTCGGTATAAACGGCATTCTTGCACTTGGAACCTCGGCACCCATAGTTTAGCCTTTCGCGCGCGCTGTGGGTCGTCCGGCAGACGGGCATGCTGCAAATATTCCATCAAATCTGTAATCCAAGTCTCTTCGACCGGTTGAACTGGGACGACCGGCAACCGATGGATGCTATGCCTCGGAATCATTAGAATTCGAGCAATCTTAGACATGTGATCGGGGGCATCTTGTGCCAACTTAGACAAGATATTTGCATCAGCGTTATCCAAGCGGGGAACATGCCGGACAGCATACGCTCGGAATAGGTTAAGTTTTTCCATTGCTAGATCCCGATAAGATTGAAGTCGCTCATCGTTAATCTCATATTCCCCGAGTACTTGTCCAACCACCAGGGCGGAATCTGTTTACGCTCGGATGTAGTCAGCCCCCAAGTCCCGAGCACATTGTAATCCGTTGATGAACGCTTCATATTCTGCCTCGTTATTGGTGGGGGTGAACTGGTACATCAGGGCGTAATAAACTTTAAAGCCTTCCGGGGTTGTGACTACTACCCCTCTGCCTGCTTCCTTCTTACTGCTCGATCCATCAATGGCCAAGGTCCACCAGGCCGCTTCGGGGTCTTCCAAATTTTGGGGTTGAGTATCCCGAGCGGTGCACTCTACAAGGAAATCTGCCAAGGCTTGACCCTTGATGGCTGGGCGTGGTCGGTACTCCATGGCGAACTGGGTCAACATCAACGCCCATCACTAGGCGTCCGAAGGAAGAGGCGGTGCGAAGGACAGCCCCGATTGGCTGGTCGGTCAAGACGCGGATGACCCGTCCCTGGAAATAAGGGGCCAACTTCTTGGCGGCCGTGTATAAAGCATAAACGACCTTCTCCAATCGGGAATAACGGAGTTCCGGACCATGCAGCGCATGAATTACATAGTACACGGGTCGTTGAGTTCCCTCTTGATTTGTTCGGCATAATACAGCACTAACTGCCCGATCGGACACGCCCAAGTAAACATCCAATTCTTCCCCTGGCTCTGGTTTGGATAACACGATCGGGGACATCAGGTAATTTTTCAAGTCCGTGAAGGCCGATCGGCACTCATCGTCCCAGATAAATCCATTAACCTTACGCAACACTTTGAAAAAAGGCAGGGCCCGTTCCGCCAGTTTCGAGAGGAATCTGCTCAAAGCTGCTAACCTGCCGGTCAACTGCTGTACTTCTCGGGAGGTCGTGGACGGCTGCATGTCAAGGATCGCTTTTAATTTGGCAAGATTGGGCTCAATCCCTCGTTTTGTCATCATATAGCCCAAGAACTTTCCCGTTTGAACTGCAAATGTACACTTAGTAGGGTTCAGACGTAACTGATACGTCCACATGATCTGAAAGCATTGTCGGAGATCACGAGTATGATCTGCTCGATTCTGGCTCTTAACAAGCATATCGTCAATGTACGCCTCCATGGTTCGGCCCAACAGGTCTTCAAACAGCATGTTGATCATTCGTTGATACATGGCCCCTGCGTTCCGCAGACCGAACGGCATAACTCGATAACAATACAAGCCATCGGGCGTGACGAACGATGTCTTGCTCTCATCCTCATGACTCATCATGAACTGGTGGTAGCCCTTAAAGGCATCCATAAAGCTCATCAATTCCGCCCTAGCCGTTTCATCCACCATCTGATGAATGCTCGGTAATGGATAAAGGTCCAAAGGGCACGCTTTGTTCAAGTCAGTGAAATCGATGCACATCCTCCAAGATGGTGGCTTGGGAACCAGTACTATGATGGTCACCCATTCGGGATAGGTGACCGTGCAGATATGCCCGGTTGCAGCTATCTTTTTTACTTCCTCCTGTACGAACTCCCTGTGGTCTGATGACAAGTGCCTGGTCTTTTGCTTGATCGGCTTCGCGGCAAGGTCCACGGCCAGTCGATGGCATATTACAGTGCGGTCAATTCTGGGCATGTCCTCCGGGCCCCACGTGAATATATTGGCGAATTCTCGAAGGATGGCCAAGACCTCTAATCGAAGCTCGGGGGTCAGGGCTCGACCGATCTTGACCTTTCGTTCAGGTCGGTCCTCTGACAAAGGGACTTCTTCTATTTCTTCAGAAGGCTCGGGCTGCTCCTTTCTGTCTTTTACGGCATCTTTGGTGATGGTTTTCACTCCTGAGGAACCTGTGTCTCGCCGGTTGACCACTCGGGAATAACACTTTCTGGCTGATTGGGCATCACCACGTAACACTCCGACGCCGGCAGAGGTGGGGAACTTCATGCAGAGATGGGGCATGGATATAATTCCCCCGACCCTCATGATTGCCGGGCGGCCCAGGATAGCATTATGGACGCAACGAAGGTTAACCACGACAAACTCCATCTACGTCTTAACCTACTTGGGAGGAGTCCCCAATTCAACCGGGAGGATAATTTTTCCTTCGGGGTGGATAGTGTCCCCGGTAAATCTAGACAAAGGCGCCCCGACCGGAGTCAACTCTCGGCGATCGAGCTTTAACTTCTCAAAAAGGTCCAGGTAAAGGACGTTCACGCTGCTCCCAGTGTCAACCATCACCCTCTGTACATCCACTCCCATGATATCAATCGTCACTTCCAGAGCCTCCATCCCCGTATCCCCGGCCTCGGGCTGATCCTCTAACGCAAAGGTGATTGGTTCCATCTTTTGCCGCTTACCGGTCTCGCGGGATTCCACAACTGCGAACGGGAAAGGCTCCCGGGCTTGAGATGCATCTTCCAAACCTCCAAATATTACGTGGATGGTCGGCTTAGACGTTTGGTGACCTTCAGACATGGGATCGAGATCTCTCTGGTCATGGTTCGATCGTTCAGACCGACCGGAACGCCGATGATCTCTTTTCCCGGTTGATCTCTTGTTCTCTTCTCTTTTTCCCACGCACTTGTCCAGCTTACCGGCTTGAAGTAGGTCTTCTAACAACTGTTTCAAAGTTATACACTCTTCAGTATCATGCCCACTGCATCGGTGATAAGCGCAATGCTTCGACTTGTCCTTCCCTTCCTGTCCAGGACGCGGTAATCAAATGAGATTACATGATTGTGCATACTGCAGGGCTTCCGCAGCCGAGCGATTCAAAGCCGTGAAGTCCTCCGGGCGTGTTCGGGATCGGTGGTGCTCTGCCGACCGATTATCCGACTTTCCGGGGGCTTTCCGGGATGAACCGACTTCCTGAGACCGTTTGACAGCGTTGGCCTCTCCGACATTGGCGTAATCCGCCACTCGACGAAGCGCTTCTACATACCTCGTCGGCGGATGAAGTATAAAGTCTTGATATAAATATCCGGCTCTCAATGAAATGTGCAACATATGGATCACCGTCAGGTCATCCATGGGCTCGACCTCACCTACGGTCGCTTTCCATTTAACCAAAAAGTCGGTCAAAGTCTCCCCCTCCAACTACTTAGCCTTCTCCAAGTATATGTACGGCTTCCGGATGACTTTCAAGGTTACAAACTTTCGAGTGAACTTAGTCGCCAAGTTGGCGAAACAAGAGATAAATCCTGGGTCCAACGTTCTAAACCACTCGGCTGCTCGTCCGGATAACGTCGAGTAGAAAGCTCGACACATCACAACGTCACTCACACCCATCATCAGCATGTTTCCATAATAGGTATTGATGTGGACCTCCGGGTCTATTCATCCATCGTATTCCTTATTACCGGGAATGCGCAGGTCGACCGGATACGGTTGAGCCATAATCTCGGCTGTGAAAAGGGTCCGCAATAATGAAGCGGTGTGAACCAAAGGCCCTAAAGCATGCTCATGCTGCCACCGAGTGAATTCTGCGCGCAGCTCGTTCACCAATCCCCGGGTGTCATCTTGCTCGGCCGTCCATATTTGCTCGCGGGCTCGACGTCGATGGTATAAATGAGGTCCACGGTTTCCTGATGATTCCGCTTGACTGGCCGCGCGCATAGGTGAGTCAACCGACCGCCTATCCGGGTCCTGTGGTCCCAATCGTTGACGCATTGCCGGCCGAAGACGCTCAAACGCGCTCACGCGATTGTCTTGTCGGTCAGGGTCATCTGCTGCCTGGACATTAGTTTCCTGCCGTGGTTCCTCCAGGGCCCCTGCCCCCTGCGATCCCAACCTCGAGCGAGCCGAGCGCCTAGTCCGGGGACCGGGCTGAAACTCGGACTCGATCTGCATTGCTGGTTGGTTCGGGGGAACAGAAGCTGGAGCCGTGTACACAGGCCTTTAAGGTTGATAATTACTCGGCAGATAGTACATTGGGGTCCCGGGCCAGTAACCATACTGGGCGGGTGGTGCTGGATGTGGGAAATATCCCGGGTATGGGAATTGCTGACCAGGTGGCGTTTACATCGGTTGGACATAATTGACCGGGTTAGGAGCCACCGAGTGAGGGGGTGAAAGGTTGAGGTTCAGGTCGACGGTTGGACCATACTGGTGTGTTTGTCGGAAGAACTGACCGCATCCTCCTCTATATCCTGCATGTATGGATACATGTTTTTGGGGCGTAGGCACTTCGTCGTTCGTTACTAATTGTACCGGTCCCCACAGACGCCGCCAAAATGATAGTGTAAATACACGGGTGACCTAATACAATCTAAATGACTACTCCGAGAACCGACTGTCTGCGGTCGGGCAGCTCTGTAAGTAACCTCTTGATCGTTCCAAAAGTCTCTTTCGACTTGTCCGCCGTGGATATTTATAGCCCATCGCCGAGGACAACGTCCGGCTTATCGGCATGTACTCCACGCGGCACCCCCGTGCCAAAATCTGGTGGCCACCCTCTGCCGATGCCTGGCGCTGCCACATGCGCCTCTCCAACGATACCGCTTCCACATGGAGCAAAAGTATGGCGATCGAGTAGAACACCGATTGGGAGGTAAATCAGTCGATCAGAGTCGAACGCCTCTAAGCAGAAGGTCAGCATAAGGTTACATGGACGACCGGTACCGACCGTCTTCCTGCTGCAGCGCTCAGGCAAAGGAGCTGTACTGATTGACGCGGAGAACATCTTAGGTCGGTCGGGATATATCCTACCAATTATTATATTATTAATATTGTAATTTTATTTTATTATTAGATTATTACATAATAATAATAATAATAATAATAATAATAATAATAATAATAATAATAATAATAATAATAATAATAATAATAATAATATAAATTTTTTTAGACAATTTTCTGCTGTGCAACCAAATATTAAAAATAAAAATGTTTTCGAAAAAATAACTCACTTTCCATAAATCATTTTTCTACTTTCCAAACGAACTTTAATATCTATACAATTAATTTGATAAATGCCATAATAATTATTAGATAATGGTCTTGTTTGATTATTGACAATTCGTCATTTTAACATTTTGTCTTTAATCAAAACACCAAAAATATTTTTTAATAACTCAGCAATTTACTCCAAACTGCCAAAAACTAAAACAACACATAATATTTCCCAAACGCCCCTAATAATAACTTTAAAAAAAAAAAAAAAAAAAAAAAAAAAAAACGAAGTCATTAAGCTAAGGCTTCTTAAATATGAACCTTTTGGAGTAAATTACTGATCGCACATCATTTACAAATTACAAAGGGAAGCCCTTTGTCCTCTTTTTTCTTTTTTTTTTTTTTTTTTTTTTTGTAATTTTAACTTTTTTTTTTTGTAATTTTAATTTTATTTTGTATGTAGTTTTGTTTGGATTATTATTATTTTAGTTTATTATTACATAGGGTTTTTATTATACTTGAACAAATATATATATATATATATATATATATATATATATATATATATATATATATTAGTTATTACGTTTAAATCTTACGTTAATATTCTTACACTATTATTATTATTATTATTATTATTATTATTATTATTATTATTATTATTCCGGTCAAGTTCTGTTAGTATATAATGACCGTGAGGTACAATAATAATATAATCATAATTAATATTCTTGTATTCTATTTCGTGAGGCACAATAATAATAATAATATAACCATAATTAAATATTCTTAACTGGATGGTGTGGTTGAGGAGAAGAGACTCATCCATCTTTAACCAAAGGTCAAGGGTTCGATCCTTGACTTTGGCAATGGAACAGCCTTAAATCTCCAGGCCAGTTGTTAGTCACTATATCCGACAGTGGAAACTCTGGGTATACCAAAAAAAATAATTGAATAATATTCTTATATTCTATATTCTTCTAGGTTTTCTATTAACATCATTAATTATTTCATAGTTTACCATAATTTGACCAATACAATGAGTTGGGGTGGAAAAATGCTAGGAGGATTTTACTTTTAATTATATATAGATATAGATATATAGATAGATATGGATATATAAATTTTTTTAGCTTAGTAACTATTGAACAGTTCATGTTGTTTAATAGTACTTTTTTTTAGTACAATTGATTCTATTACAATATAGTATATGTTCTATACTTTATCTCTTGCAAGTAGGGATGGCAATGGGTCGGGTGTAGGTCGGGGAGGGCTACGTCCATCACCCGATCCACCTTATATTTTCTCCACCCACCCCCACCTCCAACCCGCATCGGGTGGACTTTTTCAGAACCCACCCCCACCCCCACCGGGTGCGGGTGCCCACTACGGGTATCCACCACTTATCATCTTATTATGTTCTTCAAAAAATAATATTTAAATTATTTACACAAAATAAAAAAAAAATCCATTAGTGATACTAAAACATAAATAATGGAAATATTTAAATATAATAACTAAATTGTTAATTTTTAAAAATAAACTTAATAGTTTTGATATAAAAAATAGTAAAAAAATACACGAAGTTATATAAACTATTATAAATAACTACATACTAGTACTTATTTTACTATTATATATATATATACACACACACATGGTGGGTCGGGTGGGGTTCTAGGCGGGTCTTGTACATAGAACCCGAATCCAACCCGACCCACCGCGGGTTTTCTTTTTTAAGACCCACCCCCGACCCACCACCCACCATCACCCAAAAAAACCCGATCCATGCAGGGTGAATTTGGGTGGATATCCACGGGTCGGATTGAAATTGTCATCCCTACTTGCAAGAGTCAATACCCCACCACCAGAGTTCGATCATGTGACCTTCCTTCAAGGAGAGTCACAAATATGTCATCTGAGCACAATGTGAACAACCTATGCCGGGGGAATTGATCAGCTTGCAAAGTTGAGTAGCAATGCCTTCATGTCTACAGAAATGGTGAATTTCATGCCCTCTTTGGGCTTTATGGGTGAGAAGCAGACCGTGATGGAGCTACTTTTACAAGGATCAAAAGATACTAATAGATTTGCAATGCTCGAGAGGAATTGCGTCCTAGATCCACATTCTTGCGGCGATGACTTGCCTAGCTCTTAGATTTGCAATGCTCGAGAGGAATTGCGTCCTAGATCCACATTCTTGCGGCGATGACTTGCCTAGCTCTTGGAAAATGCTTACTTGTAACCTTACTAGTATCGCGGTTGCAAATCCAAAAACCGATCAAGAAACGGTGGAGCATTTGCTGTGTGGTGTTAGTCAAGGGCTGAAGTATGTTAACCTCATCAAAGAAGTATTAGGAGCAAAAGAAGATTTGAAGAGGATTAGAACTGCAGTATGCTAACAGCTAATTTACCAAACACTTTTCTACAATCAGCTAATGGCTAATGCTATCAACTAGTTAAACTCACTAACCCAATCAGCTAACAGCCATTTACCAAACACCCCGTAGTTTGGTTACATGTTTTTGTTTTTCACAGGTGGTTAGATAACGAACTGCTTAAAATGGCTACTGTTGATGGGAAAACATCAAAAGGGATTGTCCATGCAGGCTCATATTATATACCAACTGAAGCTCCCTAAGAAATGAATGGCAATAAATAACAGAGGCTTCTGTTTTTGGTAAGTATAATATACAAGCAAGTTTCAACAGGGAAAATTTTGGATTTTCATTTCTCAAGACAAAATCTAGTTTGTACTAATTCATCGACACCGGAGGGAAGAGCAAAGAAAGTATTAAACAACTCATCTTTTATTGGGGCTTCCTTTGCAAATATTCCTCCATTTATCTTTGAGGTCCATAGCAGTCCGGCCTTTCCAGAAGCGATCACCTCCAAATTCCAAAATCTCCTTCCATGCTATATTTTTCTGGCCGATGCTTTTACATTTTGCCACTCCCTCCTGAAGGAAGCAATAAAAGCAACAACCTCATTAGAACACGTGATGTTTTTCTAGCAGAAGCACAAAATAATTTTTTAAAAAAAAATTAGAGATCATGTGCAGAAACAACATTTACCTTCAGTGCTTCCTCCTCTTCTTTTGTCCAAGGAACCCTTTTTCGTTTCCATTGGGTGATGACTGGATAGGAACTACCATTTGAAAGAATAATTGTTTGGAACTTGCAACAATAAATAATGACAAAGAGAATAACACAAGGATAAATTGATAACAGAGAGACATAACTAGGGATATAAATAATGGGAGGCCACTCAAACAGCACTGGAGAATGGCAGTGGTAACTCAAATGCCATCAATTTATGAACTATTCAACCCAATATTGAAACACCTTCTAATTGTTTGGTGATTTCACTCAAAATTGACACAGATTGAGGAAATGACCCACTGAACAACAGATTTTGGTTGAAGTTCATTCAAACCAAATTCATGCAATAGATTAATCAAATCTGAACAAACTTCTAAGTTCTAAGTTCGTGTTGATAATCCAACTTGAATAACTGGTGGTTCCACTCAACTCTTCATATAGCTATGCACCTTTGCAGTACAAAGCAAAAAGCAAAGCATATGCAGAAGAATGATAGTGATAATCAATTATGAAAAGCTGAAATTCAATACTAACTGGAATGAGGCTATAGATGCAAATGGAGGAGAGTAGCTCCCGTGAACATAAAGAGAAATGATAATCTTTATTTTGTTTTTATGATAGGTGAGAAATTGACAATTTTACAAGGGGGAAACATGTAGTAACTGTACAAACAAGATACTTGAAGCATCTTGTAAAACATGGAGTGCATAACAAAGAAAACTTACCATTGCTTCTGTGGTCTGTTGAACCTAATGAAATACTTGGAAGTAACATATTTCTCATTCTCTTCATCAGAGCTTTCTTCGACTTCAGTACTTGAAGACGATTCAGGTTGATGATGCAAACTAGTCACTGATTGAGGCACAGTTGCCTTTTCTACGTCAACTTCAGTACAAGGCTCATCCTGGTTGCTAACCTCTGGATCTCCAAAAGGAAAAACAGGCTTGCGGTATATTGTAATAGCAAGTGTCTCATTATGCTGTTGATCACCCCCTCTTGGAGAAAGAGTGTCTTGCTCAGCCTGGTTTTCTTGTGGATCTTTTGCGAAAATAACTGGCATTGCACTGGTTGATGAAATGCTTTTATCATTTGAAGGGGGCCTGCCCTCAGGTGATACTGATGGCTTTTCTTGTTGTTTATCTTCTGAATTAGCCCTACATTCTGGTGAACTGTTATCTCTTAAAGAATTCCTGCTGCTGTTAGCTTCACCTTTTTCACATAATTCATCATCTTGCCTTGATTGACTTGACTTTGATCTACTAGATCTTGTGGAGACATTTTTCAGTGGTTCAATGCTGAAGCGAATAAAGGCTGTGAGATCTTTCCTAGCAAGTGATGCCTTTTTCTTAAATTTCATGTGCTCTGAAATTGCTCGAGAATATGCACAAAAAGGGCAGTAGAACTTTCCATCCTTCTCAAAATTGGGAATAGAACCCAAACAGCTATCATGGACCACTAATGGGCAGGTTTCAGAACTACAAACCAACAATTGACCACCTCTATTACACTTCATGCAAAGCTCCCTCAAGTCATTTGTTGCGAATGAATCTTGACTATGCGTGCATTGAGAGCTCAAGAATGCAGTTTTCTTTGATGCAATTTCAACACTCTCTTCATGATACTCATTGTTGTCATTACATGGATCAGGTCCATGAAAACAGTCAATGATATCTCTACTTTCATTAATGGGTCCACCATTTGACAAATTATGCTGAAAATTTCTTTCAGCTTCATTGGCATGAGAAACCTGTTGAACTAAAGGATGTTTTGCATCATTTGAATTTCTTAATTCAGCATGAGCATTCTCTTCTCCGGCTGCATCAATACAAATATTTTTTACCCCTCCCCCTGCATTTGTTCCCTGAGGCATTTCACTTACGCTACAATCATGCTGCTGTTGATTACCATTGATCTGTCTTAGAGGGGATCCACTTTCTTCCAAGGCTCCAGCCTGGGATTCATTTCCCAAACTGCGCCCTTCTCTTTCAATGTGTTCTATAATATGTTCACAATCTTTATTAAAAACAACACTCTGTTTGCACTTCTTGGTGACCCTAGTACAAGGATCACAACCATTCTCTGAAATACTTCCCCCTCCAGGGATTTCTCTTCCCTGATGATCAGCAGAAACACTCTTTCTCTTCTTGGCAAGCACCAGGTCCCTGTCAGGTAAAGTTTCTTCCCGGTTGTTATTTTCCTGGGTAGAAGCTACCGAGTTTACATTTTGTGCAAGACATTTGAAATTACTCTCTTCACGCATCTCTTTAGTGCCGTTAACAGCAATTCCATCCACAGATGTAACATTTCCAGATTGATTCGTAGTTGACAAACCACTTCTTTCCTTCAAGGTTGCAAGACGAGGATCAGTGCCCTTAACAATCATATCCTTCAGCTGCTTATTAAGAAACACACAACAATTTAAAAAGTAAATTAGTTATATCTTTTTGGCATATATAATTTCTCAGAGCAGAATATAACTGAGAAGAACTTTTCCCTTACTTTTAGCAAAGCATATTGTGGCAAGGTAGATCTCTTATAGGTAACAAATGATTGAATATCCCACTTCAGCACCTGTGGTCCAGGCATTTTCATATTTGATGCAGATAACTGGTTGTAAGCACATGGCAAAAGCACACTAGTTTAGCACTTTTGTGTTCTTGAGTAAACTAGAGCAGTTGAGAGATCAACTGAATCTTTCAAATACTACTTTAAGTTATTAAAAATTACTCAAACACAGCTAAACCAAAAGTTAGCACCTCTTGCAATATTTTCCCAAGTACATCTTCACAACTCTCTGATGGATCAAATCTGATTTTAGGACCTGCTGACAAGGATGAATCATCATTGATCCAATTGTTTTTGATGAGTAAGTTTTCCAAAATCCTAAAGGAGACCATCTCCCTTGCACTTCTCCCAAGATCATCAGAAATTTTTGGAATCCTCTTAACCAAATCTGTAACGCATAATCCAGAAAAAAAAAAAAAAAAAAAAAAAAAAAAAAAAAAAAGAAGAAGAAGTTCAACCTTTAGTCATTTACAATAACTACACTAAACCCCCAAAAAAATCATAATCCCTCTATCCCATTTTGTAGAATCTACCTTCCATTTTGGATGTCTCCAAAAAGGAACAACTGATTTCCTAAAAAGCAAAAGATTATAACTTTGTAGAATTCAAATCAAATAAACAAGCAGTTTAGCATTAACATGTTGTCCTTTATAACTTCTTAAGATTATCCTATACAAAACAAATATATGAAAGGTAAAAAGACTCAAAGTTCCAAACTTGCTACTTATAATCTTTGAGCCCAGCCAAAGTATATGGTTCAAAATATAATGGAGGATAGCAATTTCAATGACAATAGAAAAAGAAGATTCACAAATAATACCAATTAGTAAAGATGCATCTACTTGATTGGAGCTTGCAAGTGCTTCCACAACCCAGATCCATGGTAAGGACGATGTACAGGTAAATCCATTAGCCATGAAAGTCACTTCTGAAGATCTATAAACCATCTACATTGCATATGTAACTACACAGCTACAAGATTTTCTCGTCCATTCTGCAGCAGGCCAGATAAGATCGTGAGAGAGAGAAAAAGGTTCAAGTGACATAGACTGTAAGTAGGGATGGCAACTGGGCGGGGCGGGGGGAGAGTTGGGTCCCCGTCCCCATTCCCCATCCCAGCCCCGTTCCCGGCCGGGGATTTGAAATTTTCCCCTTCCCCATCCCCATCCCCGCCCCGTTTTTTAATAAAATGAAATTAGATTACAGTAGAAACAATTGATAACCAAAGAAACTGAACAATGTAGCACAATTAACCAAAATCAGAGGATATTCCTTCAGTTGAAGTTGGTTGGGCAAAGAAAAGATTTTTTTTTATATTAAACTGATAAACTAATAATAATAATAATAATAATAATAATAATAATAATAATAATAATAATAATAATAATAATAATAATAATAATAATAATTTCTTCTTCCATCTATCTACTACTCCGTAAATTTTTAATTCCAAAATTTGTCAAAGCTTTACCCAGTCAAATCTTCTCTTCATTACATTCAGATGGGAACCAAGAATCCATTTACTATTGCTCAAACTGGTTTTACATTCTAAAGAGCCAGTATTAACCAATAAAAATTTTCCCCAGCAAAATAATGATTTCAGCAAAGGATAACAATCTCACAACCACAAAATCAAGCACATAACGAACCAAAAAGAATTGTGAAAATGTGGAATTAAAGAAACTGAAGAGCAGATATGAAAGAAATTGATAAGGGGATAGTCATTACTTGTGGAGACGAAGAAAATATAGGCGGAGCAGAGATGGCCGAGGACGTCGAGTGGCGACGAAGATTCGACGAAGCAGAGAGCCAGAGATGACCAGACGATGCGACGACGAAGCAGAGATGCGCGGACGCCGTGGACGGCCGACGGCGAGGCTGGAGATGGCGGGCGGCAACAGCGAGAGGAAACCGGCGACTATGCCAGAATGAACTAGGGTTTTAAGAGTGTGAGATTATTTAGTATTGACTTTTGACTAGTTTATATTTTTATATATAAAATATTATTATCCTTACTCTATATATATATATATATATATATATATATATATATATATATATATATATATATATATAGTTTTATTTATGAGTGTGTAAATTTTGGATAATTTTCGGTTAACCGATAACAAAGTTCGGTTAACCGTTTTCGAACCGAACTTTTTCGGTTCGGTTAATGGTTAAAGGAATTTTAAAACTTCGGTTAACGATTAATTCGATTCGAAAGATCGGTTAACCGAATTAACCGAATGTTAACCGAAGTTTTTAATATATATATAAATAATAATATAAATATAAATACTAATTTGATGTTAGGGATGTTTGGAGTTTATAATTCATGTTTTTTATATTTTGTTATAAATTTATTATGATATGTATTTTATTTTAATTGGATTTATTATTTTAGGTGTTATTTTTAGAATTTTAAATTTTAGCTTTAAAAAATTCGGTTAATCGGTTAACCGACCGATTAACCGAAAACAATTTCGGTTCGGTGAATTCCGTAGAGCAAACTTCGGTTCGGTTAACGGTTAAAGAAAAAACACTTTCGGTTAACCGATTGAACACCCCTAGTTTTATTTGGGGACGGGGCTAGGGTCGGGGCGGGTTAAATGCGGGGAATGTCCAATCCGTCCCCAGCGGAGATGAGAAAATTCTATCCATCCTTGTTCTCCTTTTCGAAAAAATTTCTCGAATCCGTCAAGTACGGGGATGAAAAAATAGGGTGGGATCGATTTTTTTTTTTTTTTTTTTATATAGCTTGGAGGGGAATACCCAAACGAAGAACATAATGCAGTTTAATTGGTATTACATGCGAGGTGCCATGAAGGCAGGCCATCTAGGTCATCCTCTAACGGACCTAATACTAGATCAGGAGGGCTTTGTAGTACATGCATACCAACTGGGTAGCTTTGAGCAAGTTTGGCTAGGACATCAGCAACAGTATTCTGTTCGCGTGCAATGGCAGACAGCTGCACTACTTCAAATCTGAGCAGCTCCTTTTTGCAAGCCATCAGAATGTTGTGGGCAATACTTCTTGGCACTCTATTAGTCCGGTGGAAAAGAGTCAGTTTCGAATACTGCTCTTTTGTAGCCCATGTGAATGGCCAGTTATATTCCTTTAAGAAGGGCCCAGGATTCTGCTTCTAACGTCGTAGCGTTGCCCATATTGAAGACAAATCCATGCTTCCAAGTTCCATTGTGATCTCTGATGACACCTCCGCAGCAAGCTTTGTTCGTCGTGAGATCAACCGAGCCATCGATATTTACTTTGACAGTACCTTCGTCTGGTTTAAACCAAGACAGCATTTTCTAAGCGTCAATTATTGCTGCTTGGTTTCCTCCTCTTGCTCTGGGATGAAAAAATAGGGTGGGATCGATTTTCTCCGTCTAGGTCGAGTTGGATTAACATCCCTAATTGTAACTAGTTAGGAGCTTAGAATGAATAACTATTTTCCAAACAAATATAATAGATCGAAAAAAAATGTTAAATAGGCCATTGAATTATTAGAGTTTGTACAATTGAGCTATCGAAAAAAATTGTACAATGAAACTATTTAACTCTATAAATTTGTATCTTCAAGAAAAAAAAAAAAAAAAAAACTCTATAAATTTGTGCAAGTAACATTTTTAGCTTGTTGTTTCCCAATAAAACAAGTTTAAAAGCCTGACCTGGCACTGATGTGGCAATTTTTATAGTTTTTTTTTTTTTAAATCTCTAATACACTTGACACCTCAGCTTATTTTTCAAATTGAGATCCACACATTGACGTTAACCGTTGTTAACTCACCAAACATTGTCTTTCCTTCCGATTATAGGGACAAAGACCCTAATAGGACAAAAATAACAAGTGTGGACAAAAAATATGAAAAGCTCATTTCTCAAATGCGTATGTTGTCATAATTTTTTTTTTTTTGGGTCAAACGACACGCAAGTGGTTACCCAACCTCAAAACCCAACAAAATAAATAAATAAAAGCATATCCATAAGGTGGAAACACATTAGTAGTGTCTTCAGAAGATATCTCTGCTTGAGCTTTTGACTAGTCCAAGTCTTGTCTTTTGCAATTGTGTATGTACAATTTGAAGATTATTGTATGCTGTTTCTCTAGAGCAACCATTGAAGAAATCATGGTTGCACTTGTAAGTAAGCAAGAATAAGGGTAGCATGTACTTATTATATGCTAAATGTTGTTGTTTCCCTGGAATACTTCTCAGTTGGAAGCAAAGAATGATTTATAAGAATTCCATAATAACATCTGTAGGAAAGTGAAGCGGCAAATTACAATGATCATTGGATTTCTTCTGCAATTCAATCACTGAAGAAGGCATCACCTACAAGCCTTAGAATTTCTCTAAGATCGGCATGTTACTGTTTGTCACTGATTGAAACTCAGATATTTAATTAATAGTTAGACTGTTTATTGTGAAATTTGGGAGAATAATTAATAATACTTGAAATTGTGAACATTATACTGTTAGTGAGGTACTAAGTTAGAAAGAAATTATTACATGCTAAGTTCTAACTAGTAGGTGTGTTCCGTATGGGAATAATGCTTATATTCTATTATAAGTTATAACGATGTTGATATTAATTTTTAATAATGATGTTTGGATTAAATCACAATAATTTTAAGAGTATATGGAGTTTTTTTTTTTTTTTTTTTTTTTTTTTTTTTTTTTTTTTTGAATGCTAGTGGCTCTATTACAATGTAGTACCTATTCGAGTATGTGTAGTTATATTTTGAGTATTATTGTAATTATAGAATCTGTTAGGAATATAGCGGAAGCGAAGAATCGAAAATTGAGAATTATAGAAGTTAAATAATATAAATAAGGAAAATTATATAAATGACATATGAATAACGAACAATGGGAAAAATATAAATATATATATATATATATATATATATATATATATATGTATCTACGTGAGAAAGAATAATAAAAAGGAATAAGAATGAATTCAATGATGAATTGATGTTGAGAATGAGTGAATTACAAAGCATCAACCTAATCTATTTATACAAAGTAAAATGAGAGAATTAAGTGGCATGAAGTAAAATATCGTGTACAGACATGCTACATGGGGGAGAAAGTTGCAACAACCACAAATGCATTACATGTTGAGTGGGTCTTATACAATAAATTTGAGCCACATATATTATTTTCTTAACAATCTCCACCTTGGATCAAATCCACTGTGGAATTAAAAATTGGAACAACCCGACTAAAATCAAGCACTACTTGAACTTAGCAACAGGAAGAGCCTCGGAATAGCAGGATGGATCACCATCAACCTCCTGTGTGACTGAAAGAGCATAAGCAACCATATTGGTTTCATCGTCACTAGCGTACCTAGCAGGTTTTTTAATTGTCCTCTTAGTACGATCCATAGCAATGGAATACTCTCGTTGTGGCTCGACGAGAGGTGCGGTGCTAGTAGATGCATCATCTTTAGTATTACCATCCGTGGTAGTAATACTATCAATAAGCCTGAACTCAAACTCCACCTTCTCACCAGTACTCTGTGTCTCATCTGTACTGGGAACTTTTCCAGAGGAAAGTAGTGCATTTTCATCAAAAGTGATATCTCGACTCAGAATGATTTTCTGAGAATCAGGAGACCATAGACGATACCCTTCTGACTCAGAGGCATAACCAAGGAAAATGCATTTGGCAGCTCTCGGGTTTAATTTACCCGTACTGGAATGAGCATAAGCAGGACATCCAAAAACTCTTAAGATAGAGTAGTCAACAGGATTACCTGACCAAACTTCCTCTGGAATTTTGAATTCAAGGGATGAATGTGGAGATTTATTTACCAAATAGCAAGCAGTAGAAACGGCCTCGGCCCAAAAATCGCGTCGTTTCCATAACCCAGCATTAGAGAGCATACAACGAGCTCTTTCCAATAGAGTCCTGTTCAAATGTTCGGCAACACCATTCTGCTGGGGTTTACCAGGCAAAGTCTTGTGCCTGGCGATTCCATTTGCCGCACAGAAGTCATTGAAATCTGACTCACAGAACTCCAAGCCATTGTCTGTCCTGAGCTTCTTGACTTTTTTTCCTGTCTAAGTCTCAACGAGTATTTTTCACTTTTTGAAAATAGAAAATGCTTGATTTTTGTGTTTCAGGAAAAAAACCCTGACTTTACGAGAAAAGTCATCAATAATAGACATAAAATATCTACAGCCTCCCATAGACTGGAATTTAGTTGGTCCCCATAAATCGGAATGTATATATTCCAATACATCTTTGGTACGGTGTGTAGCAGCAGAGAAACTAACCCTCTTTTGTTTCCCAAAAACACAATGTTCACAAAACTGTAATTTACCCGTACCTGAACCACCAAGGAGGCCTTCTTGCTCAGGAGATGCATGCCTTTCTCACTCATATGCCCCAGACGCATATGCCATAATTGAGTGAGATCCGCATCAGACATCGATGAGGGATTTGTTGACAAAGAGAGTATTCAAATCACACAACAAATTGAAGTGAGAACTATCTCGCAATGTCCTTGTTTGACAATCAGCAGTTAGCAGTTAGCATTAGCGGATTATATTAGCGAATTTGACCATCGAATTATATCAACGGTTGGTAAAAAGATATTTGAAAAAAAATAGCTGTTTAAATGTAAAATGACATAAGGGTAATAATAATAATAATAATAATAATAATAATAATAATAATAATAATAATAATAATAATAATAATAATAATAATAATAATAATAATAATAATAATAATAATAATAATAATAATAATTCTTTTTTTTAAAAAAAAATTAAGCCAATCATATTAACTACTTGGGAGATTTATTGATAAAAAGAGTATTCAAATCACACAACAAATTGAAGTAGGAAACTATCTCGCAATGTCTTTGTTGGGCAATCAGCAGTTAGCTCTTCAATATTAGTGTATATTTAATATTTTATGCCCTAATTTTTATTTGCTCTCCCTTATGTCCCGCATTTGGATTCAACCATACCTATATAATTATTTTATTGACAATTATAATGTCGCGCGCTGATGTGAGTGCATGAATTCATTGCCGGCAACTTGCTTTACCCTTTAGCTTTCGAGCTCTGAAATTTCCAACACTTGGTGCATTTCTAGCTAGTTAGACTAATTTCGCTTGGTAGTGCCTAGGAAAATGTCCCATCATTCAATATGGTGATTCATGATTGGGTCGACCAAGCCAAATCATTTGCACCTTTGTGATAGAGTTTGTTGTCATCATACACATTATACAATCATTTTTTGGTGCTTTATTGATAGTATTTCTAGATACATTATCAACTCTGACATTTTGTATGATGAAAGCTTGTCCTTGCATTCATGGTTGCCTACATTAAATGTCCTCAACTTTTAACTGTCCAATTAGCTATTCTTCATACTTTGTTTGATGTAGTAGGTTTATAATTTGGTAGATTATATTGGTAGTATTTGGGACAAATGTTAGTTCTTTCTTTGTTAGATTGAGTATAGATTATCAACGTGTACTGGTGTAAGCTCAAATAACTCAAAATAAGAAATTAGAAAGCTAGGAGGATGATAAGCTAGAGGATAAAGTTGAATGAAGCTTTCAAAGATTGGTAAAATTTAAGTTCTGGCTTCTTAGTAATGGGGTAATGAATGACAAATTTAAGGTTCAAAACACAATAGAGTGAAGTGTAAATATACAAGTGTCCAAACTAATGAATGCTGTAAGTCATCCAAATATATTCATCTTTTCACTTATAGAAGAAATATGAGGATATTGTTTCTCATCATCATGACTACCATATGTCTTAGAAATGATGTTACATCAATTGGAGTTGTATATATTCTAGAGTCTTGCCAAAGAGCAGCACGAATAAACATTTAAATCCTCTATTTGTATTTGTTTACTATAGTGCATTAGCGAGTTTTGTGACAGAATACCAGTGAAAGATACTGTCTGAGTTAGTGCGGAATGCACTAGAATTCTCATTTTTATACGTTATTGGTTAGCTGTGTATTCTGTTAGGTATCGTTGTGCACTTTGTCAAATTAATGGTGTGCATTTTACATGACTAGTGGTGCACTTAATAAGTAGTTTGGGGTGCACTAGTATTTGTTTTATCTTTAAATCTGTTGTGTTCTATACACATATATGTATTATTTTTTATACACAAATTGGTATTAGTTGTACTGTTTTGTCATATTCTCGTATCTTTTATCATTAATGACATGGCCTAATACGCTAGGTTTTGAATTTTTAGGCTTAACAAATCTATTTGCCCCGTCGAAATAGTTGTAAAAGGGTAGGAGCTTCTGTGCATTGTGCTACGTTGGGATATTAATGCTATCTTTGTGGTTTGGCGTGCATGCTTGTTTGGTTATGGCTGTATATATGTTGGCTAATAATGTTTCCCTGCGTCTGCCACAGGGGCTAATGAAAGGGAGCTGGTGACCAGGGATGTGACACATTGTGCAATGGGCTTCACAATCGCAGCTGTTTAATATTGGAGCCTCGATGTGGAGATTTTTTATGGTAAACCGGAAGCTTGATGTGGTACAACAGGCATTTTTACCAAACTGTGTTAAGGCTAATATTAGTCCTTCTAAAGGCTTCAGGCTATACATGGAGATGCTAGCTAGGCTCGTTCGCGAATGTGGGATATTTAGATAGTAGTTTATTCCCTAAGTTGTATGGGATATTTAAATAGTTAATTTTAGTATGATAAGTTTTAATAGGAATCGTTAAATGATAAGTTGGACATACAGGTCCCAGCATCACGAATATAATGTTATACACTTATACATTGTAGTAAGAGTTATTACAAAATATTTGTAAAAACTGGTCACTACAAAAAAACACCGAAATAGCGACAGACAAATTCCGTCGCTAAATATTGAAAATCCGTTGCTACAGTGGTTAGCGACAGATTAGCGACGGAACTCGTCCGACACAAAATACCCCGTCGCTAGAATTTAGAGACCAAAATTTATTCCGTCGCTATAACTAGCGACAGAACTGTCCGTCGCAACGCGGAAATATTCCGTCGCTAAAGTTCTTCCAGTGACAGATTCGGAGTCGAAATTTGCGACCGAATAACGACGGACTAGTCTGCGCTAGATTTAGCGATGGCATTTCCGTAGCTAAAAGTATTAATTATCCATCGTTAATGTCTATTTACAATAATCCGGCGACGAGATTTGCCACGGCCTAGCTACGGATTGTTCCGTCGCTAAATATAGCGACGGAAGTGTCCGTCGCTAGCTTTCATCGTATCATCGCTATTTTTATTATTATTATTTTGAATTGAATGTCATTTAGCTACAACTTATTATTTCGGTCACTATTTCATTACCTTTCTACCATATTTGTCCGTCGCTAAATTCTAAAAAATTAATAAAACTAATGTACTTGCTAATTAATACTCCCTCCGTCCCATTTTGTTTGTCTGGTTCGGTTAACGAGGCTTGACTGAAGCTATTTTTACTTCAATTTTTCATAATATTAAGTTTATTTTTAGTATATAAAATTTATATATTTAGAAACTACATTAAAAGTACTATTAAACATAAAAAATCAAATTTAAAAATAATTAAAAATTACTAAAGAAAATAAGCAATGAAGAAAGAGTTGGATTGACCAATGAATAGTAAACAGGACAGGCAAAATGGGACAGAGGGAGTATAAAAAACATGCATTAAAACTATAATATAGTACTTGAATAATGTAATTACAAAATATATTATATTAAAGTATTTAAAGTCAATAACAATAACATAAGTATAGCAATATATAATGTACTAATGTGACATCATTAGAACCAATACCAAATATTATAATAAACATATAATCTAATCATCTCCTAAGTTTTCATCATTTGAATTAGCTGAACGTTGAGGTTGAGTACTTGGAGTGGATAGCATGCCGTTGCGACGCAACTCTTCCATCAAACTTGCAATCTGAGCTTGCATTTGAGTTCTTTCAGCTTGTAGTTTAACTTCCATCTCAACTCGCATGGTCTCTAACTGCTGATTCATCATCTCCTTCATTGACTCTTGTTGAAGTTGTGAAGTAGCAGATGATGAACTACAGTTATTCTCAGTGATAAATGCTGATGACTTAGTCCCTAAGCCATAAATACGCTGTTTTTTTACCCCACCAACAACATCCACATACAGTTGTGACATGTTTATAACTGGTGGCTCATTTGACCCTTCCGCCTCTAGGATTGCAGCATCACGCCGTGCTTGTATTTCGTCCTACAATTAAAAATATATCCCAAATAAGAGAACTATATAAAGGCATATAAGAATTCTGTCTATTTAACAATATACAGTTATTAGGTTATACTTACAGCAATTTTTTTTGACCTCTCATCAACGAATGTACCATCCTTCTTTTTGTGCGTATGCTCAAAGCACTCATACGGATCAGGGTCCTTTTGAAGTGTCTCTCGCTATTAAACAAGCACAAACAATAATATGATACTTAAATCCGTAAAATATGTACAAATAATAATTTTTGGAGTTAAATGTATTACCAATGCGTGAAAGTGCTCAATCTAGATCCTCCGGTATGTCGGGAACATCCCGTACCAGGCCCGGCTACCTCACTCATCCTATTTTTGCGTGCTTGCTCAGATTTAGCTTTCACTTCAGGCCTATCCCAATATGCCTCCCAAATGCGCCATGTATCTTCATGTACACATTCTGGCTTCCCAGCTGAAGTCCGCTTCTTCTTCCTTTTGGAGACCAAATCTGAATAGCGTGTGGCTGCTTGTGCAAAAAACGCTTTACGAACTAGACTGTCAATGGTCGCATCCCACTTGTAAAATTTCTGTAACATTACAAATTTATCAAATATATGCAATATCATCCATAAGATGCATTAGACAAAGTTACTAACATAAATTAAATAACATTCTAACTTCAAGAATCAACCACAATATTTTCCAAAACATATTGTGAATTTACCTTAAATTCTTCAAAGTATGATTCCTTGTACTCATTAGACACAGTCTTCCAAGTATACCCATCAACGAAGTTCCTTTGCATGAATATTTTTTTCATTGTATTTGAACATGGGTGAGAAGACATTAACCTGTACATACATACATACATACATACACACACACACACACACACACACACACATATATATATATATATATATATATATATATATATATAAAAGATTAATAAAGAAAAAAAATAATATACACATAAATGTAAACATAATATCACATTTTTACCTCCCCTCGTCCACATGAATAATAGGCAAATCACAAGCATTAGATGATCCTGCAACTGATGAGGATGTGGGTGGCGCAGTAGAGTCTGATGGTGATGGAACCGGTAAGTCAGATGGTGAACCAACAGAAGCAGGTGACTCAATAGGTCCAGATACCATAGTCGGAGTAGGTGCCACATGAAATGCACCTCGTCCACGTCCTCTTGTGCGTCCAGCTCTACTACCACCTTGTGTCATCTAAAATAAATTCAATATAATTAAATATAATATAATATAGTTAAATAACATATAAATATCCTTTAAAAAAAAACATACAAACTATCAATACCATTATCACTATCTCATATTACTGAACCTCCACTTGAGTCAGCTATTTCTTCCTCTAACTCAAGTTCATCTTCGATGTCACCATGTTCCTCATCAAATTCTATTACCCCACCATTTGAGTCATTTAAATGCAAAGGGTCTTCATCTATTTGCATGAGATCATGATTGTCTGTAGTTTCCTCTTGAAATGGTGGAGGTATTTGTGATTCTTCCGTAGATATAGATGATTCAGGAACTACTATTTCAAATCTCGCTTTAATTTTGCAAACAGCCCACCAATCAAGCTTGTTGCGCCGCAAACTTGGGTATGTACAATAATAAACCTGAGCGCCAGAGACGCCAGAGAGCAGAGACGCCGGAGAGCAGAGCCTTCGGCTGTGGGCTGTGGCTGGTCGGAGGGCTACGGTATGAGAGAGAGAAGAATAAGGTTGCACTATTCCAATCAAAACCCTTAGGACTTAGGGCTGATGAGTGATTAAGTTGTGCTTTATGAACTCTAGCTACGGATTAAAATTCCGTCGTTATGTTTTATTAAAAGTAAGAGCTGCGATATATTAATTAATTTACCATTCTTGTTCCTAGCGACGGATAGCGATTCCGTCGCTATGAAACATGTAATAAAAAATTTTGTTACTAACATTAACGATGGATATAATAGTCCGTCGCTATTGAACTCATAAGAAAACACCTTGTGGACAACTTAGCGACGGATCGATATATCCGTAGCTATTGAACCCATACGGACGAAGCCTTTTAGTCATCTTAGCGACGGATTTCACCATCCGTCGTTAGATAGCTACGGATCCATATTTCCGTCGCTATGTAGTCTAAAGCCCGTACTAATTCTAGCGACGGATATGAGTATTCGTCGCTAGACTTGAATCACGAATACATGAACCTTAAAGAATAGCGACAGATGTTTAAGTCGGTCGCTAGTATGTAGCTAGAACAATTTCAAAATTAACCCGCGAAAATTCCGTCACCAATCCGTCACTAAGTTTTGCGCCAAAAATTCCCGCTAATAATAGCTACGAATTTAACGACAACACTGATCCATCGTAATAGCCATCGCTAATCCGTCGCTAAAATCCTATTTAACAAGAAAACTAAATTCAGTCACTAAATAGTCGCTATTCCGTCGTTAAATTAGCTATGGAATGCGTCTATTGCTAGATCCGTCGGTATTTCAGCGTTTTTTTTTGTAGTAACTACATTTGCCAGGAGAATCGCAATAGACTAATACTTGATATCAAACCTATCATGTATACTGTCCTTTATTATTTGAATTCTGTGTTAATTATAATGTATACGTTGCATGCTTGTTAAATCTCATTTAGATAGATACATGGAATAAAATCCTTTATTATAAACCAATAATATTGCTTTAATGGAATTGGACAAAAAATAGATATTAGATAACACTAAATAACGCAGCAGTGATTTTAGTATTTATTGATGAAGGCTTAAAACTTGCATGCAATTAGTAGGACCGTGGCAGAAGTGCACTTCATTGAGCAAGTAGGCATTAGCATTGTATAATAGAATTAAATGTACAGAATGCTTTTATTACAATGCACACCTTTAGCTAGTAGTGATGATATGGGATATTTAGACACATGGTATTAATTCCTTTAATATTGCTTTAATAGAATTGGACAACAAATAGACATTAGATATTTATTTCCGATTGAAAATTAAATTGCACTGCTGAACGTAGGCCCCCCCTAGTGGTGGGCTAGACCCTTATTTAGTTATTGGATTAGTTTCGTTGGGTAGTCCAAGCACAGCTGTGGCATCATCCTTTGAGATGCTGATGTAGCTCCCGTTACTCACCTTTAGTGACATATTCGAAGGGTCAAAGTTGGACACCAACAAGTGCCCAACACGGAGCGGTAATTTACTTATCCGTAGGCCTAGAATTCCACCTATGCCGATTGTACAAACAGCTTGCCTTTGTTGTATCGTAAGTGAGGCCACTAGGCGTACGAGTTCCCTTGGCATCCCCGCGTCTTGATTTGGGGGAACGGGGAGCTTCCGGGAGTCGGCATACGATGCGTCGGTTCTACATACTTCACCTCGTCAAGATCACGATGTGGGGTTTGGGAATCATCATCCGAATCGCTCCCGTCATCACTTAAAACCACCGGTTGTTGTGGATCACGGCCTAAGGCAAACAAAGAGCACACATTAGCACTATGCCCTTTTATAATTAATGCCAACATAATTTACTACACAAACATAACATTACAGATTTACCACAACAATAATAACATTTCAATTCCTTTGGCTCATATGTGAAATAATTATATATTCACATTCATGAAGGAATGATGCTATAAAAATGGTCAAACTGAAGACTATGAACACAATGTAATGCATGAGTAAATAAACCAATTATGTCACCAGCTAGTAGGCCTTCTGTTCTAAAATTTATGGCTTTTGTCTCCCTTTCTATCATTATCATGCACTGTTCATACTTCCTAGAAACCTGTTCAAGTCGAATTCTTAAACTAAATTCACATGAAGCAAGATAATAGCTACAGTAAGAGAATGCTAGTGTGCACACAAGAACTATTCTATTAAGAAGAAAATTGGATTAATTACATAGGTTGAAGGGGGACAGTTGCACCTAATGAACATTAGAATGCTATACTATTATCCCCACAATTTAGAGTAATTTCACTGCACTCAAATAGAAACTGTTTATGTAATTAAGTTTACCCCCACTCATTAAAAATCCTACATCCACCACTGGTAAGGGTAAATGCTCCGAATCCGTTAGTAGCCAAAAATACCAAAACCAATAAAAATGAACTAACATTTGTCCCCAAATACTACCAATCTACTAGATTATAAAGCTACTACATCAAACAAAGTATCAAGAATAACTAATTGGACAGTTAAAGGCTGAAGATATTTAATGTAGGCAACCATGAATGCAAGGACAAGCCTTCATCATACAAAATGTCAGAGTTGATAATGTATCTAGAAATACTGACAACAAACCTTAAACAGATATTATACACATGTATCAAGCAAAATTAGTCCTACTAGAAGTTCAGTATTAATGTGAACAGGAGAGTTGATGCAGCACATACATTTATTGAAATTTATTCTTAGATACTGAGCATAGATAATAGTGAATTACATTAGCATTAGGCCAGAAAGTTAACACCTAAATCAGTAAACATAGTATCATATTAACTATTATATGCTAATATAATATGCTAAGAGCATGATTAAATTGCACATCCAATTCCAATAGCATAATGTGAGCATGATTAAATTGCATACCCAATTAAACTAAACACCAAATTCTTCCAACGATAAGTTTTTTCATCTTAGAAAAGGTCCCATACCAGTAGCAGCGCGTAAGCATCAAATGCAGGCAGCACTGTTACTCTACACAAGCTCTCCACATCTTCCCTGATCCTAATGGTCATCCACACACACACCGCACTGATCCTAGCGGTCATCCACCCACCTAATTTGGTAATTGCAATGCACCTAATTCGCTAATTCCATAGCTGCAACCAGGTGATTCCGAAATTACAACCCTAGAATCACTTCCAACACCCCCTCCCTCCCCTTCCCCCCCGCCCCCCCCCCCCCCAAAACAAACCTTGCATTACTAAGAACATAATCAGAATGCATAAGAACCGCCACTAACCTCGCTTTCCCCACCGGTGCGCCGCCCGTCGCCTTGCGGAGACCCTAGAAACTACCCCGGACTGGGGCGGGACAAATGTACCACGAGCCGTGGCAGGCAGATTCCAGCGGCCGACCCGGCACTTGAACGACCGAGGCATCGTCTGCCCTCTGTGCGCTCCAGCCGGTGCCGATGTTGTGCATACCTGATGAAATATACACTGAGATGTTAGCTTTTCTAGTAGAAGGAAAGGTAAAGTAAAACAGCCTTAAGCACCCAAACGCCAATAGTGCACTACTACACTTCTAAAATGCATAAACACAAACACTAATGCAGGTGTCACCCATTTTAGCAAATTCCCCCAGTCTCCCCCAATTCCTCCATAAGAATTCTGTTTGTATTACTCTGCTTTCTAGTTATCCTAGTATTTCCCTTAACTGCAATGTTGTCTGCACGATGCACATGGGTGAAAAAATAGTATGCACGGGCTGATTATTTATGCACATGGGGGACAGGGGGATAATATGCACGGGGCGAATTATTTATGCACAGTGGCGGTGTTCGTAGGTAATCATCGAGTACTGTAGGTATAATGCACGAGCTAATTATTTATGCACAGTGGCAATGTTCATAGGTAAACATCGAGTAATGTAGGTATAATGCATTCATAACCTCCTAATTTATGAATGTGGGGTTCATTTACCATGCCCTTCAATTCAACGCCTTGTTATAAGTTACATTTGCACTAACCAAATGCGGGATGCCATTTTTTGTGTTGCTCCAGGTGCTGATGCCCACCATTTTCCCTTTATTATATATTCATCTGAACTGAATCATTCTCCACTCAATGAATTATCCAAAATGTTAAAATTTTAATTTGTTCTTCAGAATGATCCTTTTCCATTCCAATTTTAACAACAGCAGCACACGAATTCAGCTCAAGCCCACCCCCTGTCGTGGATTCCAGCTACGAATACACCATTCCAGAGCATCCCAAATAGGGACCTATTTACCTTGACATCCCTTAACCCTCTAGTGCACTTTTTCCCCCCTGATGCTCAACAATCAACAGCATAAGCTACAGAGCACGAAATCATGCACTAACCTGTCTGATCCCACCGGTGCGCCGCCTGACGCCTTGCAGCGACTCTAGCCGCTATGCCGAATGTAGACCGAACGAAGCCCCCTGGAGCCGTCGAATGCGGCGTGCGACTACCGGAACGACGTTTAAACGGAAAGGACCCCACCGCCACTCTGTGCGAACCAGCCGATGGCTGAGTCACGTGCGTCACTGGCTTCCCCACCCTTCCCCTTCCCGAACCGCGCCCGCCACTGGGCCGAGTCATCACGCACCGGAGAATGCACGGCGTTTCCTCTAAGACGAGATGCACATGGGTGTCGCAACGGGAAGCCGACTATGACCAGAAAACAAAATGAACAAAAACAAATACCCCTAAATAGGCTAATTATTCGGTGATTGACGATGCACCCGCCCAGTGTGTACCTTCAGTGATACCCATTGATGATGCCACGTGCGCAGCTGGTAAGAATGCACAAATGCACATGATAAAAGGAATTCACATCTGAACAGTGAACAAAAAAAAAAGATAATAGCGTTATTTCATATTATAACTTTGATATTTAATTTAAAAAAATAGTGAACAAAAAAAGACAATAGACAATATAATGAATATAATCAATTGATGAATTTGAATGTAAAGAATATTTTTTACATTGGAGAAAAATAAAGACAATATAACTAATAAAATTATTTCTCTTAATTAATTTATTGATAATGAATAATTTTTTTGAATAAAGACATTGTATGGACAATGTATCGAGTATACTCAATTAATGAATTTGAATGTAAGTAATTTTTATATTGGAGAAAAATAAAGACAATACAATTAATGAAATTATTTCTCTTATTTAATTTATTGATAATGAATAATTTTTTTTTGAATAAAGGCATTGTAAACACATAATTCTAAATTAAAGAAATGCATATGTATTATTTTTTGTTGTAGCTACTAAATTATTATTTAAATTATTTAATTTAATAAGAGTAAAATAGAGTACTAATTACGCTAACTTTGATTGAGATGAGGTTCAAACCTAAGACCTTTCTTATTGGAATCAATGAGTAAGTTAACAGTCAACTAACAGAAATTAACGGAGAAGATAACATTTAATGGAAAAGCTAATAGATAATCATATAATTAAGGATAAATTAGGAAATCTCAAAGAAAAATTAAAATTTGATCAATCTGAGCCATTAATTTGATTAAAAAATTTGACCGTCATTTTTTCTACCGATTATAAGCCTAACCCTCTTAATTTGGATCCACTTTTTTCAAGTAATTTCTATATATAAATAATAGTTGTTCAAAAGTAGTGTCAAAATTCAAAATATAAATATTGTATAAAATAATACATCTAAAATTTCATTTAAAATTATTAAGTCATGTAAATAAAACAATAAATAAGAATTGTGAAATATTTAGTAATTTTAATTACCTGTTAAAGGGAATTGAAGAACTTGAGAATTTGTGACTTTGTATGATCAAGAAGAATTGAAGAATTCTGCCGAGTTGCGTCTGTCGTCTTTTGTTTGCATCAATTGCGTATTTGCGTGCTATTGCTGCCTATTGAGATTAGCGTTTGTCTATCGTTTGCTGACTAATGTTCGCGTCTATGTTCTACCTAGTTGTCAACTTGTCGTTTGGCTGTCGCTGCTATTTGTGAATTGTGAGATTCGCGTAATGTCGGTAATGAACTCAAGGTACGAAAAAGTCGAAAAGGGTTGCGCTTAATGGCTATTGGCTAATGCCTTATATATTGTACTAGTATTTGCACCTGTGCGATGCACAACCATAAATAATAATAATAATAATAATAATAATAATAATAATATAATTAAATAATATAACATAATAATAAAAATGAAGAAAATTTATATAGAGTAAATTATTTAATAACAATTAACATTGAAATTGTATTACACATTATTAAAGAAAAAATTAGTATACAACATTTTTAGTCGTACTCACAAATTGTCCTTTATCCCTACAAAGCAAAATTTTTAATCCACTTGGATTACTTACTCTTCAAGAAAGTTTATACAATAATGCTAAATACAATATAAAAAATATATGAATATAATTCATATTATTTTTCAATTTAGAAAAAAACTTAACCAATAAATAGATGATGGCAGATGATGAAAATCATATTTTGATACCCTATAATAATTCATTAGCTAAGAAACTATGAAGTATTGTTGTAATATTTATAATAAAAATGATTAATGTTGTTAAGTTTCATATATAAAAAGGAAAATATGAACTTTGTTCATTTATAAAGTTTTTATTTAATAATTATGTTTTCATTTACATGCTTTGACAATTATTTGACGGAACAAAAATCCTTCATAAGAATTCCTGCATCTGTCCCAACTTCAACACCTTTTCATCCAATAATATTTTTAAACTAATCACACACCTCAACGTTTTATTTATTATGTGTATTCATCATTACTTTAGAAATATGAAATGTGTTGTAATTAGTCTGATAAACATGTCTAATGTATACATGTGATTTGATAAACATGTCTAATGTATACATGTGATTTTTTATCCCATTGATTCAGTTTTTATCACTGTTAAGAATGTCGTCAAACCATTCTTAAGATCATACTAATTTCATTATTCGAAGCTTTATATTATTGGATTAATCACATAATTTGCGCTTTAATCGAGAATATAATCTGACAACTAAATTTTGAAAAGATTGCGAAATAGGCAAAACTGATTCATTTCACCACACTTGTAGACCTAAAATTAAACTAATTGCTTTTACCTTCTTGTCCATGAAATAGCAATAAAGACTGATAAAACAAAAAATGAATCAGGCATCAGTGAATACCAAAATAATGCAAAAATAAACATATATATAAAATCTATAAAACAGATAAAACAAACATTGAATCAAGCACAATATTAAGTCTATAAAAAACCATATATATAGCCTATAAAAAACCATAATGTATCCAGTGACCACAAAATATTATTAAAAACATAAAATGAAACCATATCTACACCATTCACGGCACAATTGTCTACAAAAAACAACCACCTACATTCAAACAATTTAAATATTTAAAATTGTTTGAAAAATACAATCTATTCCAGTTTGCATATACTATAACAGTATAACTACTATTCAATGTTTTCTTATTGGAGCCTTGTGTGGAAGAAAATTACTCAAAGAGACATCTTTTCATTGCACAACATTCAATCTCGATGGTCTCAGGGAAAAAATACATATAGAAAGCCAGAGGAGACCCTCAGCCTCTCACCTCTCTCACTCTCAGACTCTCACCCTTTCGCCTCTCTCACTCTCAAGCTCTCACCATTTCACCTCTCTCACTCTCAGCCTCTCACCCTCTCACCCTCTCACCCTCTTGCCTCTGAGTCTCACATTTGTCTCTCATACTCTCACCTTGACTGCCAGAAATGAGACGCCCAGAACAGAGCGACTGGCGACCGCAAGGTCTCCACCTGGTCTCTCGTTTTAGCATATCAGCTCGTCTCCGTTCTCTTTCTCCCCGCGTCGTCCTTCTAACGCTCGTCGCCTTCTCGGATTCTTTGACTCCTTTCCGTCGTTCTTGAGTTCGGCTATCGCCACGCACTATTCATTCATTCATACATCTAAAGCTCGGCAAAATCTGAAGACCCAAATGCCGCTATATATATTACTATTAAAAAACTGAAAAGACTCTTTGAAAATAACCTCTGGTCATTATTTTTTCTCTGCAGATATAAAAAACTTATTAATAAATAGACTGTTTTCTAGAATATTCTTTCCTTAGTAGAAGATATCTGACAAATCTCTATCTCTATTTATCTATAAATTCTGTATTTATCAAACAAAATGTGTTCACATTAGGCGGGAAAATGCTACTTTGTGATTGACCAAGATGATATGGCTTTATTATATAGAAAGATACATATTACAAATTATTATTTTAAAAAAAAAATATGGAGTTTCCAAAAATTGGGGGCCTTGTACAAAGGCCCTGGGCAGACTTGCCTAGGGCCGGCTATATATATATATATATATATATATATATATATATATATATATATATATATATATATATATATAGTCAGATTCCCGTGCGGGCAGTGTTTCCAGTGTGGTCACACACCATTAGGTATACACGCACCACATAGTATTTCAAAATGCACCATTAGGTGTGGTGCATTTTTTTTATGTGTGGTGCATTTTTGAACACTCTGTAGTGCATTTTGGTGTGTGGTGCATTTCTTGGGCACAAGTTCTTATTTGATCCAAATAATACACACACACACACACACACACACACACACACACACACACACACACACACACACACACACACACACACACACACACACACACACACACACACACACACACACACACACACACACACACATATATATATATATATATATATATATATATATATCACTTGTAAAAGTGTGGACGCATCTACACCCTTGATCTTGAGACTTTCGAGTTTGAAATAATTATAAAATGAACTCCACTAACAAGTTGTTAGTATACGTGGGGTGGAATGTAGGTTGAGGAAGGTGAATCTTCCCTGGGATATCGTTCTCACCGTATTGCACGTGGGAGTGAATAATGTGTGGTTGAGTACAAGTGAACAAGTACCTACAAGAAGCCAGGTCAATGCTTGTTGAAGAGCAAGTGTAAGTTCAAAGTAAACTAGAGAGCAATGTAAAAGGGTAAAGAGAGCAATCAACACTAAAGAAGTCAATACATGGGAAACAGGACTTGGATTAAGTTTACTTTGCTTTTGTGCCATGTAGAGTCCTAGGTAGGAAATGCAACATATGTGTTAATTGGGATTCAATGAAGATGTTACTAATGCCAATGCCGATACCACACCCCTTGGCCTATCAAGGAGTAGAGTCTTACCCAAGTAACCATTCTACTAACTTGCGACATTTCATCGAACACTTAGAGTCCACATCTTCTTCTGAGTTTCACCTCAAAAGATGGGAATAGCAAGTGGATGTAGGCTATAGCATAGTCCCAATTCCTTGGCAACTATACATCCCCTAGACCTCCCCCATGGTTGGGCCCTAACCATGTGGGAGTCCATGCAAAAATCCACTTCCATTAGTAAGCCATATCAATTAACACATATCTACTTATAATTGCAATATAAATCATATATGCACCATCAAAAGTAAGCCTTAATCTAATTCTCCAGAAAGTTCTAGCCACTCATGATCAAAGTAAAGCAACAATCACAATTGAGCAATCAAGATATGGAATAATGGAGAAAAGAGAAATGAAATTGAAGGAATTTTACATAGCTCAATTACAATTGTGATCCACAATCAAAACTTCAATTAAGCAAGAAGAAATCTCCTAAATACAAGGCAACGTGTCAAGTTGATCCTAAAACTTAAAGAACTTCTCTCTCTACAATTGGAGTACAATTAAGTGCAATAACTAGAAGTGAAGTGCTAATAACAAAAGTTCATTTCTAACTCTTTTAAACTTCCTTAAATACTATAATTTTTGTCGCCTACACGACCCCTTGCACGCACGTGCATCATTCGACAAGTACGCCTACGCATTCTGCACGGTTGTGCAAGGCTTGGTACACGGGGGAAACTTTGAATTATTTTTCCATTTAGCTCTAAATCTTATCCAAATGCTTCCAATTCAGCCCCAAAGTCCTACAAACATTCAAATGCACTCACCATTAGTCTATGTGCTGAAATTATGCAATTATAACCCATTAACACAACATATAAGCACAAAAGACATCAATTAAGCACAAATCAACCCCAATATGACCCCAAAGAATAAGGTAGCTTTGGAACTTATCAAATGTTTTCACACTTTAACCTTGTTTTCCCTCAAGAAAGGCAAAACCAAAGCAATTGATCACAAGTGCCAGAGATAACTCCAAGAACTCATATAACCCAAATGGTCAAATAGTCAAGTGATGCACAAGAAATCAAGTAAGTGTTGCTCCTCCTTTTACTTGGGAAATGTGGTGAATTGAATGTGAAAAGCTTATTTCAATGAAGATTTAAGGAAATAAAAACCCCAAAAATATCACTCTAATTTTATCAAAAGGGACTCTTCTCACACATCAACAAGCAAACATAAGAAGGGCGATCAATTCTCATTTCTCCCGGGACTTCCCAAGCTGAGCCGGATAATAGGAACGATGTATACAAGTTCACCAAAATTTTCCACCATTGGCCCCAAAGACCCAAACAAGAAAGGTGAAGGTATGAAATCAACCTCTCCTCGCATTTTGAGTTAGCCAGATCTCTCTTTTCTTCTCACCTCTAGAACATTAACTTCGAATATACTACCGGAACACAAAGCCTTATGCTTTTCATGCATCTTTTGTGCATTTTTGGTGAAAAGCACGATAGCAATCCAGTCCCTACGAGGTGGCCTCACCCTCGTCTTTTTCCACTCAAAATCAATGATAGCTTAGTCTTTTTTAGCTTTTTAAAATTGAATCTTCCGCATCCTTACAAAAGTTATGCCTTTTTCAAGGGAGAAGGGGTTCACACATACTCAACAAAAGAAAAAATCTCTCGTCTTGCCTCATGCCATACCAAAAATTTGTCCAATTCCAAGTCTTACTACCTTATCTCCGGGTCTTACTACCTTATCTTTTCACAAACCAATCTTGCGTACACTCCCATTTCAAAGGATCCAAGACCAAGGTCTAATAGAAAAACGAATTGAATCTCAAACAAGCATCCAAGAAATGTAAACGTAATTGGTCCTATGCAATCCTCACCAAGGTGTAAGAGGAAATTTCAAAAAAATTTCAAAGAATTGAGTTTGTCACTATACAATTTACACACACTTACAAGACAAAATGAACAACAACACTTAACCATATTCAAGAGCACAATCCAATATATCACCATTCAAGAATATGAATACCAATGAAGCATAAATTAAAGTGTACTGTTCCCACACTTTAAAATGAACATCGTCCTCGATGTTCAAGCACGGGTGTGGGGATGAGAAATGGGTTAACAAGAGGATCCCTTTCCACACTTTAGAAGTGGGCATGGGACTCGAATTTGTGTGATTGGGCATACCAAAACACAAGGCAAAGACAATTAGAGAAGAGGTAGATCGAATCTGCCTTTCTTGGTGAGGAGTGCCCCAAAATAAGCCATAAACATGAATCATCTTTGCCCCATCAAACTAAATCACCAACCCCGAACAAAAGCTTTGTAAAAAACCCATAAAACATACACTATGGCTAGTGAGGCATATGTGCAATGGTCACACACATCAAAAGATATAAATAATATCAAAGGAGTTAAGAAAGATAACAATAGTCATGCGATTAACAAACTAACGAGACATTATATCAAGTCTAAAACAAGTAAAATAAAATACATAAAGTAACTGATGCAATAAAGTAAAGGAAATAAAAAGTCGGCGCCCGACGCACGCGGGGCACTTAATGTTTTTGGGTTAAAACCACAATCAAATCACACGTCAATATCCAAAATATCCCAAGGCTAGAACCAAACTCCCTACATCGACTATCCAAGAACAACCAGCTCTGGTCTACTCTTGAAGTGGAGGGTGGAAGAATCTCATAAAGTCCTATCGGAGCTCCTCAATGGCCTCTTGCTGCTCCTCTATCTCTTGCCCACCTTTGCTCATCCACGGCCACTAGATAAAAAGTGAGGACTGATATAATCAACACGGCCAGATTTTGAGTTGTGCAAGCTGGGCTACAACACAGGGCCTCAAATTTTAGAGGGCCCAATATTTAATTTTTACCTAGCTAGTTTAGAAATAAAAACAAAAAGTTTTCAATTAAACTTAAAAGGTTTCAAGGAGAAATGGTATGGACATGTGTTTATTGTATTTCCTGACTTGGAGGTCAAATGTTTAAAACTTGCATGCTGCTCCAGCTCTGGATATCTCCTTATTTTTTTTTTTAATCCTTTTGCATTGTGATTTTGCGCACACTATTATTATTGTTGTTGTTATTATTATTATTATTATTATTATTATTATTATTATTATTATTATTATTATTATTATTATTATTATTATTATTATTATTATTATTATTATTATTGTAATTTATTCCATAATATGTATTTTGTTTTTTTTTTTTTCTTTGAGCACAGTAACATTTTACCACATTATTATTATTATTATTATTATTATTATTATTATTATTATTATTATTATTATTATTATTACTATTATTATTATTATTATAAAAATTACGGTATTGGTTTTAAAGATTGTGATTTTGGTAGGGCTTCATTTATTTATCAGAATGGGGCCACAAAAATTTAAAAATCGGCCTTGATGATCAATTTTATAATTATGCCTCTAGATTTTGATAGGTTAACGGTTGAGAGTTGCTAAAAAATAAGGGAAAATGGAAGATGTTGTAATTTTGCAATTCCTCATTTTAAGTAAATTAAGAGAATTAGATGACTGATGTAGATTACTGATTGATTCAGATAAGAGACGAATCAGTAATGATAAATCATGAAGAGAGTATAAGAGAAAGATAACCGCACAAAAGCCAAAGACACAGAATGTTTACCCAGTTCGATACTGTATGTATCTACGTCTGGGGGACGATCACATAGGCGTCCAATCCACTAAATCATAAACCAATGTACAAAGGTAGATATACAATAATCTTACCCAAGTGCCCCACACAAGGTTCAAACCCAGTCTACACAGGTCTAGTGGATTGTTGAAGATGGAGAGCCATGCATACAGAAGTCCAATGAAACCCCTTCACTTGGAGAGCCCACTCTGATGCAATCCACTTCAATGACGCTCTATAAAGTTGTTCCCACAACAGTGTGATCACAGTGTCCTTTCGTTTAAGCAGCAGTAACTCTCCTCAAGTTCATCATCTTAATCACCGTGAACATATTATATTGAGAAGATACATGACAATCAAAGACCTAGTCTCATATAGCAGAGATGAAGTGTTTCTTCTTACTTTCGGCGTAACCCTAATTCTCTTCGAATAAGGGTACTTATAGATCCTTCAATAACCACTCTCCATAGATGTCTTTGATTGTAGAAGGTAGGACTATAAAAGAGGAATGTAATCTCAGAAGATTAGGTACATACCTTTCTTGAAAAAATACGTTGATCATCTTTCCATATGAGTCTGATAATACCGCGTGAGCTTTTTAAGAAATCAGCTTCCTAAATCAGATCTTCAGTGTCAGTACTTCTGTTGTTGCTTCTGATTGATCAGTTATCTGTAGAGCTAAACGGACAGACTCTAAACCTATCTTAGTATGCCATAATAATATTGTCAATTATAATATGGGGTTTTTGAACATTTAAAAACACTAACAAACTCCCCCATTGGCTATTATTTGGCAAAACAACTCGACTATAAACTCAAAGAGCTAAGATAGGTTATTATAAAGAAGCAACCCATATGTCCGAACTGATTACATAGAATAAAAACAGAAACATAGGATCCAAAACAGTTTAAGATAAAAAACATAACGCCCAGCCAGGGCCAGAAAGTACTCAAACAAAAAAACTCCCCCTGAGTTCATACTACTCCCCCTTTTTGCCAATGGTAACCAAAGATCAAGCATTGGAGGGAGAGTCACTGTCAGACTTCACAGGATCAGCAGCAGCAGCAGCTTCAGTCAGGCTCAAACGAAGAAGAACAGTAGCCAGTTCAGTACGGGCCCCTGTCAGTTGCTTTGCAATAATGCTGTGCACCGTCTCAAGATCAGCAACTCTTGCCTTCAACTGTATGGAAAGCTGAACATCCTTAGCATGAGGAGAGTCATCAGGCACAGCATTAGGTTCAGAATTGAATGGGATAGTCACTGGAACAACATCCCGAATGTGATCTCCAGACAGAAGACATTTATCAACAGTATAGAGCAACATTGGACTGATCACTTCACTGGGCATAGGCTCAAGGCCCTGAGTGGTAAGGATGCCATAAATCAGATTTGGAAAGGGTAGTCTTACCTTCTGTTCGCGTGGATGAATCAGGGTGAGGATGTGATAGTAAATCCATTTTCCCAGATCAAGTTACATCTTTGTTCCAATTCGAAATAAGAACCCAGCCAGAAGCTTGCCAACGGTGTGGAAATGGGCTGATGGGAGCCAGTTGTGAAGAGCTAGGCGGTGTAAAATCACATATCTTGACGTGAGATGAGAGCTTTGGAGATAGTCCTTGTCACCTGTAGGCCATGATTCTGTCTGCCCACCAGTCAGAGTTCTGGCAACTAAGTCCCAGTCAGTAATAGTTTCTTCTTGAACAGCTGGCAAGCCATA